AGGAATATATGATATATAATTACTTGTTTTGTTTGCAAAAAAATTGCTTATATATTCTGTTATATTGTATAAATCCTTTGTTTTTATTAAGTGAGGAAATGTTATGTAATTTTTATTATTCATTTATCAGTTTTATCATATGTTAAACAAGTGTCATTTGGAAATAGAATAAACTATGTTTTCCTTGATCGTAAGAACCAATGGTAGATGCATATCAGATGCACTGTACCATTATGTGCTGAGAGCTAAACTTATTGTTGAAGCCTAACTAAAGTTATTAACTGAAACTGTGAAGTTTAAAAAAGATCAAACAATCCAACGATGAGTTGATGTATGTTACAGGAGTTCTGTTGAAGCCTAACTAAAGTTATTAACTGAAACTGTGAAGTTTAAAAAGATCAAACAATCCAACGATGAGTTGATGTATGTTACAGGAGTTCTGTTGAAGTGAGGCCTGTAACAATCCAACGATTAAGTTGATGTATGTTACAGGAGTTCTGTTGAAGCCTAACTAAAGTTATTAACTGAAACTGTGAAGTTTAAAAAAGATCAAACAATCCAACGATAAGTTGATGTATGTTACAGGAGTTCTGTTGAAGCCTAACTAAAGTTATTAACTGAAACTGTGAAGTTTAAAAAAGATCAAACAATCCAACGATAAGTTGATGTATGTTACAGGAGTTCTGTTGAAGCCTAACTAAAGTTATTAACTGAAACTGTGAAGTTTAAAAAAGATCAAACAATCTAACGATTAGTTGGTGTATGTTACAGGAGTTCTGTTGAAGTGAGGCCTGTGTGTTAAACACAACCGGATGTGGATCACAGAAAAAACGTTGCTGCTGCACACTATTGTTTGAGAGGAACAAAGTGAATCATGTTAAACACAGATCAAATCTATTCCCGACTGGATCACAGAAAGAACATTGTTTTAGCTGAGCATAGTGTGAACTTTACAAAGTTAATATTAACTTTTTAACATTTCTGTTATTCATGAATGCATTTGTTTTATTGTAGTTATTTTGTTTTGTTAATTGAATTCACCTTCACAATTTATATATTTTTATGAATGTAGCCAAAATTATTTTATTAAAAGAATCACTTTTTTGCTTATTTTTTGTTGTTCTCCTTCTTTAAATGTTTACCTCAGTTGAATCAAAAAATCATTCATTTTTTTAAATTGTATCATAACAGACTGAGTAGGAATTTCTATATTCTGATAGTTACAGTTTCTGTTGTCACCTGTAAAAGAAAGTAAAAATATTTTTTTATAAATGTATTGTGTTTACACTAATAATAGCCAGTGACTACAAATATTTTTATGTGGCTGTTATCAGTAACTAATAATTAATACTTCCACAAATCACAATACCAAAAAAATAAGGAATCTATGTTTATACTTTTTTAGTATTGTTTCTTGATGGATGCAGAAAAAAATTTTGATTCTTAATATTTCTTGTAAGAATCTAACTTCTATACTCAACAGTAATTTTGAATTAAAATCTATCAGGGGTGCTCAGAAATAGTTGTTTTCTGTAAGAAAGATGGAATGGCTATAATAATAAGAGAACCATAATAGGTACAAGGCTTGCAGGACATCAAAAGCTAACCTTATACAAGCCAAAAAAAGTAAACAATTCCCTTTTATCCATTGACTGGTATCTCAGAAGGAACTAAGAATGGATGTGTTAAAGATTTTATTGAATAGATGTTTGCTGATCTGTTTTGGCTCTCATGACATTTTCTTTGCTCCATTAATTAGGCACAGGATGTGATAAAGCAAAATAGTGAAGTTTTTGAATAATTTTTTCTTACATTTTGATGAATCCATACCATTCTGGAGAGGTAAGCTGAACAGCCTGGAGAAGTGTGTGTGGGTAATTGGGGCTATGAGAACTGCCTTTCCTTATCTTTTACAGTTGGGTAGAACAACTTACCAGCCATGATGAGGAAAGACAAGAAAACATCTCATTAAGAAGTATTTTTCTTACTAATAAGTCATCTTCATAAACTGAACAGAATCCACTTACTGATCGTTTGCTTGTGAAGTGACCAGGATCAACTTACTGATTATTGCTTGTGAAATGACCAGAATCCACTTACTGATCATTGCTTGTGAAGTGACCAGGATCCACTTACTGGTCAGTTGCTTGTGAAATGACAAGGATCCACTAACTGACTATTTGCTTGTGAAGTGACAAGGATTCACACACTGATCAGTTGCCTGTGAAGTGACCAAGATCAATTTAGTGACAATTTGGTTGTGAAGTGACCAGGATCCACTTATTAATCATTGCTTGTGAAATGACCCAGATCCATTTACTGATCATTTGCTTGTGAAGTGACCAGAATCAACTTATTGGTCATTGCTTGTGAAATGACCATGATCCATTTACTGATAATTTGCTTGTGAAGTGACCAGGATCCACTTATTGATCATTGCTTGTGAAGTGGCCAGGATTCACTTACTGATAATTACTTGTGAAGTGACCAGGATTCACTTACTGATAATTACTTGTGAAGTGACCAGGATCCACTTACTGACTATTTGCTTGTGAAATGATCAGGATCCATTTACTGATCATTTGCTTCTTAAATGACCAGGATCTATTTACTGATTATTTGCTTGTGAAATAACTAGGATCCATTTACTGATCATTTGCTTGTGAAGTGACCAGGATCCACTTACTGATCATTTGCTTGTTAAATGACCAGGATCCACTTACTGATCAGTTGCTTGTGAAAGGACAAGGATCCATTTACTGATTATTTGCTTGTGAAATGAACAGAATCCATTTACTGATCATTGCTTGTGATGTGACGAGAATCTACGTACTGATCATTGCTTGTAAAGTGACCAGGATCCACTTACTGATTATTTGCTCGTGAAATAACCAGGATCTTCTTACTGATTATTTGCTTGTTAAATGACCAGGATCTACTTACTGATCAGTTGCTTGTGAAATGAAAAGGATCCACTTACTGATCATTTGCTTGTTAAATGACCAGGATCTACTTACTGATCAGTTGCTTGTGAAATGAAAAGGACCCACTTACTGATCAGTTGCTTGTGAAAGGACAAGGATCCATTTACTGATTATTTGCTTGTGAAGTGACCAGGATCCACTTACTGATCAGTTGCTTGTGAAAGGACAAGGATCCATTTACTGATTATTTGCTTGTGAAATGACCTGGACTCACTTCTTATAACTTTATGGTCATGAAGAGAACCAAATTCATTTCTTGATCATGAAGCACAGGACTACACACACCAGACCAGCTTTTGTTAACTTTGACTAAGAAATGAAAGTATTAGTATATATTTTAGGTAAATGTTAAGATGGCAATTATTAAAACCTCAATGTTAAGGATAGTGTCAGTTCCATTCATGAATGAATATGCCACATATTTAACTTGTATAGCTCAAAACAACTTGAGGTCTAGATAGTGTGTATGATTTAACACATATTATAATTTAGTATTATTATAGGAGAAACCAAACCTTAATGTATTGTTACACGAGAAACTAAAGGCCTGGTGGCTGGGATGCTCAACTCGCAATCTGAGTATTGCAAGTCTGAATACGGTTGCTGATCATGTTCATCCCTTATGGTATCCAACTGGGCCAACCACCTACGTTTAAAAATTATTTTCTTACAAAAATACTGGCCAACCCCACACTAGTTGGGATTAAGGTTGTAACATGGAAAAAAATTGGGAATGACTAATACTTGATGTATTCTTACAGGAAAAACTAATATTTGATGTATTGTTACGGGATAAACCAGTACTTGATGTATTGTTACAGGATAATCCAATACTTGATGTATTTTTACAGAATAAACCAATACTTGATGTATTGTTACAGGATAAACCAACACTTGATGTATTGTTACAGTAGAAACCAACACTTGATGTATTGTTACAGGATAATCCAATACTTGATGTATTGTTACAGGATAAACCAATACTTGATGTATTGTTACAGGATAATCGAATACTTGATGTATTGTTACAGGATAAACCAATACTTGATGTATTGTTACAGGATAAACCAATACTTCATGTATTGTTACAGGATAAACCAATACTTCATGTATTGTTACAGGATAAACCAACACTTGATGTATTGTTACAGGATAATCCAATACTTGATGTATTGTTACAGGATAATCCAATACTTGATGTATTGTTACAGTAGAAACCAATACTTGATGTACTGTTACAATAGAAATCAGTACTTGATTTATTAATTATAGTATTTTGGCACTTGTGTATGAAGTTAAAATCATAAATAATATTCAACGTTAAACTGGTACACACTCCTGAGGATGACGTTGTAACGTCGAAACATGTAGAGTCATCAACTTTTTGAAGGCCTAAATAAAATGTTTTTAATTGTGTACCAGTTTAACGTTGAATATTACTTATGATTTTAACTTGATGTATTGTTACAGTAGAAACCAAACTTCTTAATACATTGTTATAGTTTAATGAGAGAAAGTGTTTACTGAGGAACGTACTAATCAATCAATTAAAAAACTAACTTACACAGTAGGAAAATTCTGATTTTAATGATTACTATAATTTGACCCATAGTATCGAGTCATTATCAGGTAACAGTTACATTGAATAACACAGTTTGAATTTTAGGGAACATCTCAGACTCATAATGGTGAAGACAAAGTTTGTAACTGGCCTTAAATTAACTTTCTAGTAAAATAAAGTGGATAAAATATTAATATAAAAGAGGGCTCTTCGATATTTATTTAGAATTGGCTCTGACTTTATCAATAAGACTTCAGCTATTTTTGGTTGGTGAGACGGGGATCCGAACCCTCGACCCTCAAATTGCGAGTCGAGCTCCCTAACCACCTGGCCATGCCGGTCCCCTTAAAGTGATGGCACACGACGAGACACACATTATGTGAACAATTGTTCCTACCCTGATAACATATAAATACACGTACAATAAAAGAAAGGAAACAACGCCTCTGTGGCCACAAAGAATATTGTTACGACAGCGGAAGTCATGTGACGCTAGTAATACGTCATGAGCTTCTAGAAAATTCGTGTCTGTTCGTGAAGCCTCGAGTATTTACTAGATGTGCGGTATTCTTGTATATAAGACCGCCAAGAACTGACGGCAAAAATGTAATTGAATTGCAGTCAGAGATAGAGACGGACAGTTGAGTCAAGCACGTGAGTCATTCGTTGTGAATTATAGCGTTTGTTTGGGTGCCTCACGAGCTCTCCGATGATCATCGTTTCCAGCGGGTGAACGTCGCTTCTCGCGCATAATGCACATGAACCATTTTTGGAATTGTTACCGGTGATGAAAAGTGGATTCTCTATGCGAATATTAAACGCCAAAAACAATAGCTCAGTCCTAGACAAAAGCCACTACCAACCCCCAAACCTGGACTCCATCCACAGAAAGTGATGCTTTGCATTTGGTGTGACATCAAAGGAGTAATTCATTTCAGACTCCTCAATCCACAGCAAACTGTCAATGCAGAGATCTATAGTCAGCACCTGGAACGTTTAAATCAAGCCCTTCCTCAGAAATGCCCTTCACTCGTCAATCAGAAAGGTGTTCTTCTCCACGACAATGCACGTCCATATGTGGCACGTTTGACGCAACACAAGATTATGGAGTTTGGTTAGGAAGTTCTCCCCCACCACCGTATTCTTCAGATATGGCACCATAAGATTACCATCTTATTCGTTCGCTGCAACACCATCTTAATGGGAAAACGTATGCAAATGTGGAAGGTGTTAAAGAGGACTTCGACATGTTTTTTACTTCAAAGCCAAGTGATCTCTTTAACCAGGGCATTAACAACCAGATTGTAAGATGAAAAAGCATCATCGATAAGAATGGAGACTATTTCATTTAATTAATTTTTGGATATATAAGTTATTCGGGTTTTTCATCCAAGAATAGCGGCATTAATTTCTTGATGACGTAATATATAAATACAAATACCATAAAGTACGTTCCACACCTCATGTGAACAGCTGTTCCTACCCTGGTAAGATATTGTTACGTATCTGCTTGTTTGTTAATTTCCGGTATAAATTCTTTCTGAGGAACTTCAGCGATACAAATC